TCCAGAAATCAATTAGCAGGGTTTCGGCAGGTTACACAACAATTGTTTATTAGAGTTTTGGCAGAGTTTCACATTTTGAGGTTTTGCCATTTCGGCATAGTTTCAACAGGATTTTTGATAAGATTTAATATAGTTTTGCCATGGTTTCAGCAATTACTAAGGTGGTTTTGCCCACAACATTATTTGGACATAATAAATATTGTTAAATTTAAATTATAGTTTTTAAATGATTTATCAACAATTTTTAATTTTCCAGATTATTTGTTGATATATTTTATCATAATCTAACTTATTCACTGTGTATTTCTAGCTTCTTTTTTAATTTTTTTTACATTCTGATTTGCTTGATATAATTCAAATTTGATATTGAGAACTTTTAAATGATAAAAGATAATCCATTAGGGAGTGTAGATACCACTTTCTCTACTATTTTATGAAAAATAATGCCGAGTTTCCATATTATAAACAGTAAGAAAATAAAATAATATTTATTCTTTTTGATTTGTGTTTGAAAATTATTGTATATATCACTAATTTTTTACACAATAGGTGGTAATAAAGATAACTATAATCTTGTCATGATTACAAATAACAAAAACATCCTGCTAATGATGATGTTGGTGAAGAAAAAGTTAATAATAATAATGCTGAATAAAAACACAGTAATAAAATTTTAACTTTTAATTTTGAAATTTGTTTTACAAATTATTTATTTTATTAATAAAATTTATATATGGTAAATAGTTTAAAAAAAAAAGAAAGAAGGTGTTGTTAAATCTAATATAAAGACTAGATCTAAATCAAAAAAATAAGTGTAAGAAATTTACACAATAGGTGGTAATAAAGATAGCTATAATCATGATTACAAATAACAGAAAACATCCTGCTAATGATGATGTTGATGAAGAAAATAATAATAATAATAACACTGAACAAAAACAGTAATAAGATTTTAATTTTTAATTTGAAATTTGTTTTTTACAAAATATTTATTTTATTAATAAAATTTATATATGGTAAATAGTTAAAAAGAAAGAAGGTGTTGTTAAATCTAGTATAAAGTCTAGATCTAAAATAAGTGTAAGAAATTAGGTAGATTATTTATTTTTAATTATGAATTTGAACAACTATACTGATTATATTCACTTCTACTAAAATATTTAAAATATTGTTAGCAAATTCATATTTTTTTATTGGATTTTTTTTTTCAAGCAAATTGAGGGTTTTTGGTTATTGTATTTTTTTACATACATATTAATATGCACATACATATGTATGTTTGCATATATTATCATAAATAAAATCAATTAAAGTTGCTAAAATTATAATTAAAATAAGATACATTATTCAATAAATTCAACTAGTGATAATTAGTAATTCATGTTCCATTTTTTAGATTAATAGATAATCAAATAAATTTATTCTTTTGTTAAGATTGAATAGTTGGGATCTGTACCTTTAAGAGTTTTAGCCATAATATGTATGATGTACTTCCATTGCATTCAATTGATATGGATCATCATAAATAAAAACAGTTTGATTTTGTTGAAAGAACAATTTATAATTATTTATATAAATGTTTCAAATGCTGAATAAATAAATTTTTATTACATATAAAACATAAGAAATTAGAAAAATTCCAAGTAATGTTTATACTCTTCCAAGTAATATTGAGAAATAGGCAGCTTTTACTAAGTAAATGAAACATTACTAAGTAGTAAGTAATTTTGGACTAGTAATAATTTGGAGTGAATAGCTTATACAAAAGAAATAATACCTTTTACTAAGGGATTAGTATCAGTTACTATGGGATTAATATGGTTTTTTGAAGAAATTAAAAGTTCTTACTAAATTATTTTGTTTGAAATTTTACAAGAAATTAAAGGGGTTTATAATCTACATATGGAAAATTTTTGAATCAATTTGGATGTGTTTTGCATAATTTTTATTATGTAACTTCTACAATTCAAATTTTTGAGCCGCCGATATATATACATATAAATTGACACGTGATTCCCCTACCCTTAAGGGATAAGATTGATTTTCCAAAAAAAAAATTATCAAATCTTTGTGCAACACCAAGTGCCAATAAATAAATAGTTAATGTGTACGCATCAATCAAATAGCAAATTCTTTTAAAAACATGCCTCAACAAAAAAGACAAAACAAGAGAAAACAAAAAGATGAACATGGTGCTGTTGTCATGAGTAAATGTTTATCATAAGAATGGTGGTTATTGCCACTTGTTGTCACTCTGGTTAGTTATTAAAGAATGGTCATTACTTTAGTTTGGTTAATTAATTTACATTTTTTGAACTTTAAATCATTTATGTTTAATCCTTAGAATTAAATCCAAAGAAAACAAAAACAATGAAATACTTAACACCAATAAGGTAATCCCTTAGCAGACAAAATTTTAATTGTTGTAAGAATTACTTTTCTTAACGAGAATAAAAAACAATATTTTAACACGTTCGTCGAACAGGTACTTTAATTATTGTAAAAATACAAGTTATCTTTATTATCTTAAGAATGATGTCCTTTATATAATAAAATTACATAGATTGATATAATATAAATAAAATATAAATAATCATAATAATTCTTATCAATCTATCTGGAAGATTTGTGGACATAAATAAGTAATAAATAATAGAAATAATTGATGTTACAAATAATGATTAATTATGTGTCACGTTTCCAGATGTAAATATTGATGTACTACACAAGACGTTGTATATGATTACAAAGTAAATTGTTACAATTGTAGAGCTTGTTTTTTTTTGATAATAATCACAGTTGTTAGCTGATTTTGGGAAAAAAGTAATCCAGTGATTGTTTTGACTTTTCAACATTCTTTGTAATAATGATCATAAAAAACTGCCCATCATTTGGTCATTGAGTTAAAGAGCTCATAATTTGGTTATCATGGAAAGCCATTTTATCACTTCAGATTTGATAATGATCAACTAACAACTGTGATAATAAAAAATTATTTGATCAATGAAATTATAGATCTTTGGCTAATTTTTATATTTTCATAGAAACCAAAAAGAATTTTATCCGAATCTCAAAATCATTTGGTAGCTGAAGAGGTAAACATGAATTTTACTTGAGACAATAAATAAGTTGTAATATATCTTACCTGTTATTTATGTTATTTCTGTTATTTTCCCTCAAGAACCCTCATCTTAATGATGACTCAATAAATTGGGAATTTGGAATGCCAACATGGTTAACAAAAGTGATTTCTTACTGGGAAAAACATATTTCATTGGAAGATCAATTTAAAAAGATGGATGAAACAAAGTAAGTGTTAGTTTTTTCTTTTTAATAAGTCAAATAATTGCATCTAACTTTAAAAAAATAAAAATAATTACAGTATGGTGGCAATAATAAATAAGTCTGATTGGGAAGGGTCATCAGAAATTCCTCACAGAATCTGACTTTAAGGATTTGCAACAAATATTTCAAGTTCCCTTGAACTTGGGAAAGAATCAGAAACATGGATGAATATTGATAAGAATGCAAATTTATTATTACAAGATTAAAGATGGTTCCTCAATTAATTGCAACTAATTGCAGTTACAGTTGTGGCATGTGAAAATTGAGTTGCAGCTAATTGTGGTTCCCATATTTACACAAGATCTTTCAAAGGTGAATATAGCAATGATTTTTATTGAAGCTGCCAATAAAATAATTTATATTAAATTATATGTTTTTATCTTAGGTCAGTTTTCAAAGATCAAAGGAAATAGGAGAATCTGTTCTTCCTGAAGGAACTAGAGGAGCATCGGAACTCATTTAAAACATTATTAAAAACAGTCAAAATGAAGATGATAGTAGTCATGAAATTTGTGAATTTGAAATTGATCATTTAAACCATGATGTTTGTTATATTATTTGTTCTATTTATTTTATTTGTTTTATTTGAATTAATTCGTTTTTTTTGTTTTATTCATTTATTTATTTTATTTGAATTAATTTGGTTTATTCATTTTATTTGAATAGAAACTTATTTTTATGGAATAATTGTTTATTTATGTGATTTACCATAAAATAATTATAATAAAAATAAAAATTGCATTAAATGCTTTAGTTTTAAAAATTTATAATATAGAACGTGATGATCTTTCTAAAAAAAGGAATATACTATGTATATAATAAATCTATATAGTGGCAATCATTTAAAGACATCATCAAATGTTGCCAATCTTTAAGTGCTGATACTTTATTAAATATGGGCTATTTTACCAAAAACTCTC